TTTTTTTTCTGTAAATGGTTTATCCCTTTCTGTGTATAAATCCAGGTCCTTGTTTTTGGGGGTTGGTTTTTGGGGTTTTGGTTTTGTTTTTTTATTATTTTTTACATGTCCATGCTGTGTAATTTTGAGATGTTAACTGAGAATTCTGAACAGAATAATGTGCTTTTTTTTTTTTCGGTTGGGTTTTTTTTTTTGTTGTTGGTTTGGTTTTGTTTTTTTTTTTTTTCTGTACAGATGAAACGGGAGAATTTAATAAAAAAGAGTCTGCAGGTTTTTACTTGTTGTAGTTTATTTCGGGGGGGGGAGAGGGGGGATGAGGGAGGGGGGCGGGGCGTGCTCACACCCCCCAACTCCGTTAGGCGCCGCCGGTGCCGCCTTCTCGGTACGGGATGGTGGTGGGGGAGAGAGCGCAGGGCCGCGGCGGTGACCTGCGGAGCGCAGGCACGGTGTGAAATCCCAGCGCCCTCACGTCCTGTGGTAAAAGCGGCGCTGCCGGGGGTCCCCGAGCCGGTTACTGCCGTGACAGGCGTTGGTTCCTCCCTCAGGTAAAGGCCCGCGGCGGCGTTAATAACCAAACCTCTTTGCACCCCCGTTAACCCCAGCCTTTAGGAAAGGCCTGAGAGCGTGTCCTGTGCCTGCTGCCTGGCTCTGGGCTACCCGCGGAGGGTGTGGGGGAAGCCTGGCCTTTCTTTTCCAGCTTTCCTCTGGGCCTCCGCTCGCTGACAGCTGAACGCTGCCCTCAGGAACCGAGGTGGGATGCTCCGTGCCCCTGGCGGGTTTAAATCTTCACAGCAAGGCTGGTTTCAGGACGGAGTAACCGCCCTCCTTGTTTGTTTACTCCTCGGCTCTCCCGTGGCCACTTACACCCCATGTGACGTTTGCCGCTGCCAACCAGTGTATATAATAAGAGAAGTGGTAACGTGGTTCTCCTCTTTCCCTTCCTAGAAGGAGCGGTGCCGAGGTCACGTCTGGAGGCATCTAAGGCGGTGCTATAAGGAAACTGACAAATAGCCCCCGGGATGTTTCTCCGGTTACTCTCAGATGTCCGGTGGCGGGCAGCTAACCCAAAATGGAGGAGGAGGACGACGACGACCTGCTGCCGGCGAAGCACCTCGAGCACAGCAGAACCTCACCCCGTCTCCTTGCCGGCACGGGCGCAGGTTGTCATCTGCGGTGGCGGGATCATGGGCACCTCCGTGGCGTATCACCTCTCCAAGATGGGCTGGAAGGATATAGTCTTACTGGAGCAGGGCAGGTAAGGAGTTCTGGTAACAGAACCCAAGGAACAGGACTTCCCTGTGCGGCGGCATCTGCTGAGATGTGTTGTTTGTACCTCTTCACCTGGACTTGGACCCGTGGAATGAGCTTATACTGAACATTATTTGGGGGTGTTGGTAGACAGCAGGCTTAACATGAGCCAGCAGTGTGCCCAGGTGGCCAAGAGGGCCAATGGCATCCTGGCTCGTATCCAGAATAGTGTGGCCAGCAGGAGTAGGGAAGTCATCGTGCCTCTGTACTCGGCACTGGTGAGGCCTCACCTCGAGTGCTGTGTTCAGTTTGGGGCCCCTCACTACAGGAAAGACATTGAAGTGCTGGAGCGTGTCCAGAGGAGAGCCACCAAGCTGGGGAGGGGTCTGGAGAACAAGTCCTATGAGGAGAGGCTGAGGGAACTGGGCATGTTGAGTTTGGAGAAGAGGAGGCTGAGGGGCGACCTCATTGCCCTCTACAACTACCTGAAAGGAGGGTGTAGAGAGGTGGGTGTTGGCCTCTTCTCCCAAAGGATGAACGACAAGACCAGAGGAAATGGTCTGAAGTTGGGGCAAGGGAGATTTAGATTAGATATTAGAAAGAACTACTTTACTGAGAGAGTGGTCAGGCCCTGGAACAGCCTGCCCAGGGAGGTGGTGGAGTCACCATCCCTGGAGGGATTTAAGAAACGTATAGACATGGCTCTTCAGGGCATGCTCTAGTGCCCGAGGTTATTGGTTTATGGTGAGGTGTTGAGTGTGGGGTTTAGTTGGTGGGTGCGGTGTTTTTGGTGGGCGTTTGGGGTGCTTTTTTTTTTTTTTTTGTGGTTGGACTCGATGATCTCAGAGGTCCCTTCCAACCACTAAGATTCTGTGATTCTGTGATTATTAATGACAGTTACTATTTCTTCACGGCACAGGGTAGGCCTGCCAAAGGGAAGGGTGTCCCTTGTGTGACTGTGGTGGGTTAGGCTTGGGTGAGGGCCAGACTCCCACGCAGCCACTCGCTTTCCCTCCTCAGTAAGACGGGGGAGAAAGCAGGTTGAGAAATGGCGTGGATCAAGATAAAGAGATGGAGGTTGCTGCCATGAACAAAACAGACTTGCCTTAGGGAAAACTTAATTTAAAATGCTTAAAGAATTACTTTATTTCGTGCCAGTTAAAATAGACTCGGGTAGTGAGAAACAAAGAGCCAAACATTAAAACAGCACTTTTTCTGGGGAGGCCTCACCTTGAGTACTGTGTCCAGTTTTGGGCCCCCTACCATAAAAAAGACATCGAGGGGCTGGAGCGGGTCCAGAGAAGGGCGACAGAGATGGGGAGGGGTCTGGAGAATAAGTCTTATGAGGAGAGGCTGAGGGAGCTGGGGTTGTTCAGCCTGGAGAAGAGGAGGCTGAGGGGAGACCTTATTGCTCTCTACAGCTCCCTGAAAGGAGGGTGTAGAGAGGTGGGGGTTGGTCTCTTTTCTCAAGTCACAGGCGACAGGACGAGAGGAAATGGCCTCAAGTTGCGCCAGGGGAGGTTCAGGCTGGATATTAGGAAAAATTTTTTCACCAAAAGGGTTCTCAGCCATTGGAATGGGCTGCCCAGGGAGGTGGTTGAGGCCCCATCCCTGGAGGTGTTCAAAAGAGGGGTTGATGTAGTGCTGGGAGGTCTGGTTTAGTGATGATGCTCCTTGTTTGTTGTGTGGGTGTCTATTTTTGTCAGTGAGGTTGACGGTTGGACAAGATGATCTTTAAGGTCCCTTCCAACCTAGAAGATCCTGTGATTCTGTGATTCCTTTCCTGCGCTCCGCTTCGCTCCTGCATTGCAGGGCCTTCCCCCCCGACCCCAGGGAGCACAGGGGGGTGCACGGTGGGGGTTTGGTTAGTACTGGGGGTCCGTGTGGGTCTTCTGTGGGCTGCAGTTCACCTCAGGAGACCTCTGCCTTGGGTTTTTCCATGGGCCACAGTTCCTTCAGGAGTTGTCCATCTGCTCTGGCGTAATCGCAAGTGATGATGTAAAACGCAGTGCAGCTGGCAAAGATGGGCTGTTTTAAGAGAATTAAAAATCGGTGTAAATGATCCAGCCCCTATTGATTGTCCCTAGAAGGACTCAGTGATATGTGAATAAAGTGTTACACCACTACTGAAGCTCCAAAGAGTTTGCGGGAGGTTATTGTGGAGGTTCTAAGCAGACATCACAAAAACATTGCCCCGTAAGCTGGTTAAAGACTGGGATTCTCGAATTTGTCCCTTGCAGGATTTAGTGCCTACCTGTAAAAAGGCCAAGGCCGTTACAGTTTGGCTGAATTCAAGTGTTTGTGTGCTCCTCGGGGAGTGGGGTCTGCAGTCTGTGGCGGAGCACGTGGATCCTGTTGAAAGCTGACTGTGAGACCCTTACTTGGTCATTTAAATTTCTGTTTAGAGGTAGATTGGTGGTGTTTTCATTAAGCAGTTTGGGGACCTTAGGCCTGAGACGGTGCAAAGACTTTGGGGCTTTGAAGAAATGTTTGTTGTAGCAGCTCCTAACGCCCTAAAATAGGTGCTGGACTGAGGATATTCACTGTCTAGAGCTTCCTGCCTGATGCTGCCTTGAAGAATAATTAGCTGTGATTCCTTGACTTTACATGGCTGGGAAGCAGGTAATATCAGGTTCTTTATAGTTACAAAGAGAGGAAATTGGGTGGTCTTGTCTGAGACCTTGTGAGCGGTGTCCTTCTGAGTGAAATTAGCTGCTAGGCTTCGTTTGCCAGAAAATAACCATTATTAGCCTGGAGTGGGGTGTGAAATACCCCGTTAGAGATCTCTGGTGCGCTAGGTGCTGTACGAGCTCAGTCTGCGGGCGTGCTCGAGGGGAAAAAAACCACTATATTAGAAGGAATGTCTGGTGTGAAGCACAGCACGTGCTACAGCTGTGCTCGAGTAGGGATGGAGCAAACAGAATACCTGACTCAGCTGGTTCTTATGTTGAATTTTGACATTGAATTCTTATGTCTGATCAACGCCTATAAATACTTACAGGGAGGGTGTCAAGAGGATGGGGCCGGTCTTTTTTCAGTGGTGCCCAGGGACAGGACAAGAGGAAATGGGCACAAACTTGAATGTAAGAAGTTCCACCTCAACGTGAGGAGGAACTTCTTTGCTGTGAGAGTGGCAGAGCCCTGGCAGAGGCTGCCCAGGGAGGTGGTGGAGTCTCCTTCTCTGGAGACATTCAAACCCACCTGGACACGTTCCTGTGGGACCTGCTCTGGGTGGCCCTGCTTTGGCAGGGGGTTGGAGGAGATGATCTCCAGAGGTCCCTTCCAACCCCATGGGATTCTGTGAAAAGTGGTCTTGTCAAAGGCTTGCGTCAGCAAGTGGAAAAACACAATGTTGCTTTAGCAGGAAAATCTCTGTTTAGGACTAGAGAAACGGTTGTGGAATATGACGCGTTTCCCAAAGCGAGCTAAAGAAAAGCATCCTAGAAGCTGCATCATCCCAGCTTTTGGTCTGATACGTTTAGGGGAGAGTTTGCCAGTGTGGTTTGTGCTGTGGGAGCAGCCTGATGGAGGGGTCTGTCACCTGGATGAGGCCACCTTTGCTTCTTCTCCTGCAGGTTGGCTGCTGGTACCACCCGCTTCTGCGCGGGCATCGTGAGCACGGCCAGGCACGTGTCCATAGAGCTGAAGATGGCAGACTATTCCAACAAGCTCTACCAGCAGCTGGAACAAGAGACGGGAGTAAACACAGGTACTGAAGGTGTAATCACTGAGTAACCTCTGGGAAACCAAATCCAAGGATTCACCCTCAAATACAAATGTCATTTTTACAGTGTCTTAGGAGTTGGTGGTTCCTGTTTGGCCTGAAGCAGGTGCAACGTTACTAATGTGATCAGAAGAGGGGGAAGAAGGGTATCAGATGGACAAACCGAAGGCAGACTTACCTGTAAATTGGGACAATTTTAATGTTGTCTGTAACTTGGGCAAACATAGGTGAATTTTCACAAGGACACTAGAAAATATATTGCAGTGGGCGAGCAAATGGCCCGTTTTCTGCACCGATGCACTTCCCCAAAGGAGAAGAAGGTTAACAAAGCACTAAAGTGTAGGCAAAGTCCAGGTATCTTACTCTGGTCTCGTCCTGGAAATAATGAGAAAAGGTCATGTTGAAACTCTTCCTCCCTCCCAAATGCTGAGGCACGTACCTGATAGGAGGAGCTTGGTCACTGCAAGCTTTGTGCTGACAAGGACTTGCCATATATGTCAGACTCACCAGAGGTTAATGACTGTGCCTGTAATTAAGATTAGTATTAATCTATTGCAGGTGGTGGAGCCACAAAATATCTATGTTTAGTTGTTGAGGTTTTTATTCCTCTGAGTAGTTATTAGATCACTTTTTCCCTCTCTTTTAATAGGTACCATGTGTGAAGCTTAATTTTTTGTTATATGAACGTGAGTAAATGTAGCAGAAAGAGTTAGAACACAAGTCAAAATTAAATTGCTGTTTTTGAAAAGTTGACTAATGCAGTTTTGAATGACTAGCTTCAAGTTAATCGGGAATCTGGGATTTCCAGGCTCCTGAGCAAGTGGAAGCAAGGGGTCTGCACTGCTGGGTCTGAGATTAAAAGGAATTCCAAGATCCTGTTGGAATCTGACTTGACTTTGGTCGTTGTCACAGGGTACACGAAGACAGGCTCTATTTCCCTGGCTCAGACTCAGGACCGGCTCATCTCTCTGAAGCGCATTGCTGCATCGCTGAAGTACGTATAAGCAGGACATGCAGCTCATCTTAAGCTCGCACCAGCTCTCCTGCCAGGCGCCTGACGGCGTTTTTCTTCTCTTCTGTGGCAGTGTCATGGGGATACCTTGTGAAATTATCACCCCAAAGCAAGTGGCACAGCTCCACCCCCTCATCAACATCCATGACCTTGTGGGGGCCATGTATGTGCCAGAAGATGCGCTGGTGTCATCTGCCAATGTGAGTCTGGCTCTGGCAACCGCTGCCTCGCGGAACGGTATGAGGTTTGTTTATCTACAGAGTGCTCTCCTGCATGGTACTGACCTTCTTTCCCTCAAAGAATCTTACCTTCTGCATCTCTTTCGCTATTCTAACTGAGCACTGAAGACCAAAACTTGGGTATTTCTGTAAGGTTCAGATTCTTTAAAATCTACTTTTTCTCAAAAAATGGGCTTTTTTTTTTTTTTTAACATACTGAATCCTTACAGATCTGCTATGACAACTCAAGCACCAGTTTGTTGTCCTTACTGGTTATATATTTCTCTAAGCACCCGCTCTTTTATCATAAAAACAACCCATTGTAGGACCTGACTCAAAATTACACATCAAAAGAGTCTTAATTACCTACATATGTAAAGGTGTGACAGAGCCCTTGGGGAATATTTCATTGGGCACGTGGGGTTTGGAAGTGGGTTTGGAGGTGTGGTAACAAATGCCCTGTTCCCAGCACTTTGACAAATTTGGAGTGATCTAAAAGTGCAAGAAAGGTTAGATATGATAACAGAGATGAACCTCATTAAGGATGAAAGTCGATAGTCAAATTGGAAGAAGCTTGTCCTCTCTTAGTTTCTTTTAGTCCAGCTATTTTTTGCATACTATTCATTGATTATTTTTTTTTTCATAAAATGACTGATTTCCCATCTAAAAGTGCAAGAAAGGTTAGATATGATAACAGAGATGAACCTCATTAAGGATGAAAGTCGATAGTCAAATTGGAAGAAGCTTGTCCTCTCTTAGTTTCTTTTAGTCCAGCTATTTTTTGCATACTATTCATTGATTATTTTTTTTTTCATAAAATGACTGATTTCCCATAAAAGAACCAGTCTGGCCATTTGAAACTACAGATTTGGTTGCATAAATGAATTGTAGTGGAAAGAATTCCATAGTTGAGACTCTTTTTTTTCACATTTTTGATAGTGGGGTGTATTTATCACCCGGTCTGTCACATGGGAAAAAGCGCTGTAACTCTTCACAGTCTCAGCCTTTAAAACTGATGTACAAACTGTATACGTGCTGTTTTACCAATCACAGGGCTTCACTGGAGAATCACTGGGTCAAGAATAGGAATGTTGTCTTAAAATAAGCAGCCTGACACCTTAGGAAGAAGGCTTGTGGTCGACTTGACTTTCTGATGTCCTCCTCAGGTGTGCAGATCCACGAACGGACGAGTGTCAGCCATGTCTCGGTCCAGAAGGGTCGTGTGACTGGAGTTGAGACCGACAGAGGACAGATTCAGTGCCAATACTTCGTCAACTGTGCTGGCCAGGTTGAATTATTAATATTTTTCTTTCTTTTCTCCTTTGGTTAAGAACACGTGCGCTTTCCTCAGGGATGTCTTTGCTTTGTTTTCCTTTCTTTTATTTTTATTTTTTTTTTGTGGTTTGAGCTCTGGCTTGGTTTGCTGGAGCAGATCATGTTATTCAGCTGCTTAGACCAGCAGGGGTGTGAAGGGTGAAAGCGGTGCTTGCTGTTTGCTTGGCACCAAAGGCTGGGTGTTCCCCTGCTCCTCCCCCTGAGGCATTTTTCTTTCTTGTCTCCTTTGGTTAAGAACACGTGTGCTTTCCTCAGGGATTTCTTTGCTTTGTTTTCCTTTCTTTTTTTTTTTTTTTTATTTTTCTTTCTTTTCTCCTTTGGTTAAGAACACGTGCGCTTTCCTCAGGGATGTCTTTGCTTTGTTTTCCTTTCTTTTATTTTTATTTTTTTTTTGTGGTTTGAGCTCTGGCTTGGTTTGCTGGAGCAGATCATGTTATTCAGCTGCTTAGACCAGCAGGGGTGTGAAGGATGAAAGCGGTGCTTGCTGTTTGCTTGGCACCAAAGGCTGGGTGTTCCCCTGCTCCTCCCCCTGAGGAGCACCCTGCAGCTCTGCCCCTGCTCTCTGCACCCTTCTGATGGCATGAATTTTTGGCTTTGGCTTTTAGTGAGACAATTAAGTCTCTCTATCCTTCTCTCTCATGCGCACTGTAAGTTCCTTTTTTTGTTGGTTTTCTTGGTGTCGTGTCTTCTCTGGTCTGAAAATCCATCTGGCAATTGCTGTTCCTCAGCGTGCAGCTGGGCTGGCTCTTCATGGAGAGTCTCAGCAGTTACAGGCACCTAAATCCTGACTATTCTGCTTCTAGAGGCTGAGCCCAATGTGGACTTTGGTGGACAGATCTTAGTTTACTTTTCTATTCCAGGTTGATACTTAGTCTTGAGTCAGGGCCCCACTTTTCTAGGTCTTACGTGAGGAACAGAAAACCAGACTGTCCTAAACAGTTCAAATCCTAAGAAAAGAGAGAGAAAAAAAGTGTGTTTAAGGTTCTAGGGGACTGAACCAAGTTCTACTTGGTCTTTGATGAAAGCAAACCCACAGAGAGGACCTCTGCTTTTGTCCTGCCTGGTTTTGACAGAGATAGTTTTCTTCTTGTGCATTCTAACATGTGCTTCTTTATTTCAGTGGGCCTATGAGTTGGGCCACTCTGGGGAGGAACCAGTCAATATCCCACTCCATGCCTGTGAACACTTCTACCTCCTGACCCATCCTTTGAAGGAACCTCTGGCAAGCAACTTACCCAGTAAGGACTCTTCAGCTCTGCCTCGAGTTTCTTGGCGAATTATAGATGCCTTTCCAAGGCCACGCATAATTTATGACACAAAGGCCAATTAAGAGCTGTCAGTTCTCAGCACATTTGGGGATTGGGAAGTTCTTTCTAGCTGAATTGCTCTGAATGTCCTCTTTCAGTGGTAGAATCTCTTTCCTTGCTCTCGGGGAAGCTTTGGCTGCAGAAGTTGATTTTCAGAGTGGGTCGTTTTAGCAGGAGAATGACCTTGACTGGAAGATGTGTCTGAGACTGGGATTGTTGCCTTGGTGGGCTGGAGAGGGTGCTAGCCTTGGCACTATGTTTTCCTTGCAGGCTGCTGTCCCCAAATGGCCCATCTATTCCTTTCCTCCAACTGAAGCTAAGGCTTTACAATGGCATTTACATGTCTATGAGCTGTAGGGGCAACCAAACTGCTTGAGGTAATTGCTCCTCCCCCATGTTCTGGCTTTTGGATCTCTTTAAAACAAAAAAAGCCCTGGTGTTTGAAAACTGTGGTTGGGAAGTAGAAAGCTGTGCTTATTTACTCTTAAGTTGTTAGCAACAGATTTTGCTTTTATTGAGTAATGTATAGAGTCTCCAGGGAATTTGGCCCTGACCAGCCTCCCTGAGTGCTTCACTTTTACTTGCTTGAGTAATTAAAAAAATACATGTGTGTGCGTGTATATATATATATATTCACACATGTGTATATATATATATTCACAGCTTTTCTGTACATGGAAAAAAATGCTATGGAACATGTCAGGTGGGGTATCATAAATGCTTCAAGCTGACACTACTGCTGGAAGAAGCAATCCAGACCTGGCTGTTTGTCCTCATCCCAGTGCTGCCCACCTTCTTTGTGCTGGTGGCCTGCAGCAAACTGGGTCGGTGCTGCATCCCCATTAAAATTAACTGTTCTTAATTATAGAAGAGAAAGAGGGGGGAGGGCAGGAGATCTCTTGGTGGAAGGTCTGGTCTTGGGTGCAGTTTCCAGTGGAACTAAGTGCCACAAAGGATCTGACTCCCTCCTGTGTCCTCCCACTGCTGGTGACGCTGGCTTGGGTGGCTCTGCAGGGTTGGGCTGGTTTACTGAGCTGCCCAAAAGTTAACGTGCTGCTTGTGGTGGGAGTTGATGCTGGTTTGGTAACCTAAACTGCCTCACCACGGCGTCACGTGAAACCCAGAAATAGTGTGAAAGCCTGGGGTTGGGGGACTGAGACAATGCTGGTTTGGTAACCTAAACTACCTCACCGAGGCATCACATGAAACGCAGAAATGGTGTGAAAGCCTGGGGTTGGGGGACTGAGACTGTCCCTCCTCATGTCAAGGGGCCACTAGCTGTCACCAGAGCCCATCCTTGGTGTTTGTGGAACTGCAGCCCCAGCCAGCCATCCCCTCTCTCAGCTCCCTTCCCACCTCTTCTCTTCCCTCTGCAGCTGTCGTAGACCCGGATGGCAGGATCTACATACGCAACTGGCAAGGTGGCATCCTCTCGGGGGGCTTTGAGAAGAACCCCAAACCTCTCTTCACCGAGGGACGGAACCAGCTGGAGATCCAGAACCTTCAGGAGGACTGGGATCATTTCGGTATGTTGAGAAGGAAAGATGGAACCGCGTGGCTTCAGCAGAAAGCAGAGTTAGCACAGTGCAGGCTGTTGTTGCCCTGAAAGGTGTGGAAAAAGATCAGCGTTCTTCTCAAATTCATCCATCTCTTCATTTGGCAGAAATTTGCGCAAAACCCCTTTTACCGCCCGCCAACCCTCAGCAGATAGGAATTCCCTCTGGTGTGGGGAGGTGCTACATAAAGCTTTCTGACCCCGTTCTTGCATTTCATGTGAGTTTTGAGTGTCAGTGCCACATGCTGCTGCTCCTGTGACCTGCCACACAGCCCTGCTATTTTCTGTCGGCAGCTCTCTCCGGCGGGGGCTGCCAAGTGTGTTTCCAGCAGGGGCAGGGCCTTTGTGGACAGAACTTAGCACTGCTGCTTCCCAAGCTTCGTCCCACCATTCACTGTATTCCACATGTTGTGTCTTTCTCTTCCTGTTTGATTTGATTATCTTTTCATATTCTGTATGTGTTTTTACACGGAGGGCTCTTTCTGTAGGGAAGAACATAGCATGATCTAGGAGTTCCTTCCTTTTGGTTTTTTACCTCTTATGACTGCTAAGTGTGTGTGTGGTGCCCTCTCATCTTCAAAGTGGCCTTTTTTTTCCCTCAGGGATTCATTTTGTCAGATTTGCATCCCTTGTGAACGCGCGTCCCTTTGTGTGACTCTAGGCACGGATGGGCTTTCACTGATGCCTTTCTGCAGGATGTTCTTCCTGCTGCTCCCCAGGTTAAACTGATTGCTTTTCCTGTCATTTCTGTGAGATACCCCACAGTTTAAACTCCAAGGGGTGGAGCCGGATGGGGTGCAGTTTTGTGCTGGCGTGTGCTAAAGGTTTTTAGATCTACGGATGCCTGCAGACTTGCTCGGAGATATTAGCTTCACTAATGAGTGGCTCGAGCTCTGCACCTGCTTCCTTTTTGGTGTTCTAGGTACTGCCAAAATGAAAAGGCACCCACAAACCTCCCAAGTTTGGGAAGCAACTGCCTGTGCTGTTCCAGCATCACCCTTTTATCAGTTCAAACACACCCAAGGGTTGAGCGGAGTCAGAGCTTACTCAGCCAATATTTGATCCTTTCTAGGGCTGCAGTTCCTCTGGTTTGAGCTCTTGCATTACTGCTTTGATCTCTTTGGTTGGAAGGCCTTTTGATTTTAAAATAGCCTGTACAGGTGCTTAAATGTTGGGCTGGAGACGAGAACAAATCTAACGCTGATCCCTCTTCTCATCAATAAGAAAAAAAAGAAAAGTCTAACTAAAAGTCTAACTACAGGCTCTCACTCTGGAATTCAGATGCGTGAGCGAGGGAAGGGAAAGCACAGGTCAGAAAGACTGTTTCTGTTTGTAACTTCTCAGGTAATGCAAAATCTGATGGTTTTACTGCTTGTGTGTAAAACTGAGGAGGGTGATTAGTGCTCAATCTTGAGGGCTTTTATCTGGAATATTATGCAGGGGTAACTTCTGGACAAGAAAAACAAAATAGGTAGCTTATCCCTTTATTAAAGCTCTCAACTGTCGGGCTGTGAGGAATTGCTGAAGGACCTTTCCAGCGTGACTGGGCACTGAGGTGGCAAGGAAATTCAATGAGGATAAATGTGAAGTGACGCAGGTGCAGGGGAGAGGGAGGGGGGGATGATCTTATTTTCACCATATAAAAAGGATGGGCTTTGAACTGACCTTGGGGTTATATTCGTTCAGTGAAGATGTCAACTCAGCAGCAGCCACAGCAAAAGGCAAGTTAGGGATTATTAGGAAAGGCGGAGAAAATGCAATTATTACGCGAGGTTAAATCCTTGGTTGGTTAGATAGTAGGTGGTGTGGGCTGCTGAGCTCCAGAGGGTACCGTGTGGCTGGAGAAGGCCTGGTGAAGGAGCAGCAAGAGGCTGACCAAAGCTTGGAACAGTTTCCAAGCAAGGAATGAGTGAGTGGGCTGGAAAAAAGAGAGGAAAATAAACAGAGGTCTATGAAATCGTGAATGGGACGGACAGGATAGATGTGGATCTCCTGTTCACTGTCCCTTCTGTTATGCCAACTGGGAGGCATCAAAAAAAGTTAACTGAGTGTCAGTTTCAAAACAAAAGGAGGTGATTTCTCCTACAACAAATACTAAATATGTGGAACTCCTTGATAGCGTGTGTAGGATGTTTTCATGAGCATGGGGAAGACTGCAAGTACTTAGTTGAATTTAGGGGTTACTAAGTAGGGAAAATACTGGATTTTTAGGAGCTGATGGTACGTGGAGGCTGTCAGAGTGTGTGGGACAGGTGTCATATAGATTTGCCTGCTCTTATGCCTCACCAGGCATCTGTTTGATGTCTGTTCCTATTGTTTTCCTCTAACAAAACTGATCATGCTGTTGCACTGTTGAAAACAATACTGGGCTCTTGGTCGGGATCGGTGTGGCTGGTTTTAAGGTACACTGTGTGATCCGTCTTGAGGAGTTTGATTCCAGCAGATAAACTGTTTATCCTGTGACTGGATTGAAACACGGCAGCAGCTTCTATCTGTTCAGATGGTAGCATGTCATCTTTCTGTCATAGAATCTACAATGCTTTGGGTTGCAAGACCATCCAATGCCACCCCCTGCCCTGGGATCTTGAGGAGTTTGATTCCAGCAGAAAAACAGTTTATCCTGTGACTGGATCGAAACACAGAAGCAGCTTCTATCTGTTCAGATGGTAGCACGTCATCTTTGTGTCATAGAATCACAGAATGGTTTGGGCTGGAAGGGACCTTAAAGCCCACCCAATGCCACCCCCTGCCCTGGGCAGGGACACCTCCCACCACACCAGGTTGCTCCAAGCCCCCTCCAACCTGCCCTTGAACCCCTCCAGGGATGGGGCAGCCACAGCTTCTCTGGCCAACCTGGGCCAGGCTCTCACCACCCTCCCACCAAACAAGTTCTTCCCCACAGCTCAGCTCCATCTCCCCTCTTGCAGGGTCAAACCCTCCCCTCTCCTCCTGGGACTCCCCTCCCTGATCCAGAGTCCCTCCCCAGCTTTCCTGGAGCCCCCCTTCTTTAGGGACTGGAAGGGGCTGGAAGGTCTCCCCGGAGCCTTCTCTTCTCCAGGCTGAACCCCCCTCCCAGCAGAGAGGCTCCAGCCCTCCCAGCATCTCCGTGGCCTCCTCTGCACCCACTCCAACAGCGCTGCCCAGTTTGCTGAAGTAGCTGAACCATGTCTAGACTAAAGGTTGTGACTTTTTGTCTTTTATTTTTTTTTTTTTACCTTTGTCTTGGGTCCTAGAGCCGCTCCTGAGCGCGCTCCTGCGCAGGATGCCGGATTTGGAGGCTCTGCAGATCATGCAGCTGGTGAACTGCCCCGAGTCCTTCACGCCAGACATGCGCTGCATCATGGGGGAGTCACCCACCGTGCGGGGCTACTTTGTCCTGGCCGGCATGAACTCAGCTGGTATCTCCTATGGTGGGGGAGCAGGCAAGTAAGTGGTTTATCAGCGTGACGTGTGTAAGTAAGAAAAGAGACTGTGCTGAGGTGATCCTGCTGTGTAGAATGTTCTGGTCAGTGTTTGTCACCTCCTCTATGACAAAGACTCCTCTTCCGTTTCTAATTGAGTGAAGGAGAGGAGCAGTTGCCATGCTCTGGTGGTGTTCTCCTGTGTGTGTTCCAAATCTGTGTTGGACTCTCCTTCTGTCCTGCACACTTCTCCTCAGGCATCACATCCCAGTGACCAGCACCCTGCTGGGAGTCAAGTGAGCTTCCTTCGAGCTAACTGGTCTGATTTTTATTCTACCAGGAAGAGAGAAAAGCTTAGCAAAGCATATATTCCCTCATCTTCTGCACTCCACGATCCCCTTTAATTTATTATTTGGTTGAAGCCCTTAGATCATTCAAGTTGACCTGGCAGTTGATTTCTCTGAAAGCAGAGCCAATCTGATGCAGGTGAAGCACCGTGGATGCGCCACTGGTGCTGCCAGTGCTGTTAAAGACTGTCCTCTGCCAGTGAGCTAGAGATGGAATCATTTCCCACTAAAATCCAGTTCTGATGTTAATGCAAGTGCTTTGACAGGCGTATAAGTGCGATCCCAGCAGCAGAAGTGCTTGCAGAGTGACTGTCACTCCATCTCGTGGAGTTTGGTTTTGGCAGCCCAGCATCCCTGCTGCCCTACAGCCCCTTAACGAGCTGCTCGTTTCCCATGGCAGGTGTTAGCATCTGCGTTGTTTGTCTTCACTTAGTTTCTGTCCATTGTCTAATAATTTAGCTCACCAGGGAAGCAACTCATGATTTTTTTCCTTTGTGGTATAAAACATAGACAGTCTTTGCAGTGAGGTTCTCTAAGAACCCAAATAATTTCTGAAGGTAAAAGCACTATTTGTCCGATTGTTGCTGCAGCCTCAAGATAAGCAGCTTGGCTTGCTTCTGTAACTTGTAATGATCACTCTCCAACCCCTTTGTTTTTCTGTTTACTGACTGTGAACAGATCCCTCTGCTCTGCTTTGGTCTGAGCTGCCTTTTTCCTGTAGCTCTGGAGCATGCCTTCCTCCTTCACTGCTAGAAGTGTAGCTAAACATAACTTGGCTGGCCCCTCGTGCTGAAATGAACGCTGTCACTGCTGGTTTGTGGCTGAGCCTACACCAGGTACTGAAAAATGACAAAGCAATCAGTCTCCTAACTCCAACCCAAACCTTCTCGGCTCCTCCTTTTGTAGCGTGGCCCCAGGACTTGACACGGTGTCAGCCAGGCTACCTCTCCGGGCTCTGGCTTCCTTCACGTGTCCTTAACTTCCTGTGTGTTTCATCCTAATGGGAAATTAATGATTTGGAATCATTTGGTGGATGGGTTTTATAAAGGGAAACCTTCCAGATTCTGCTAGTCTTTAGAATACCCTGTTGGTTGGCTTCTCTCTCCCTACTGCAAGCAATTCTCCTGTCCAAATCGCCTTGCTTCTGACCTCAACGCTAGACTCCTTCCCCTAAGACGTTGCCTGATATCTCAGTCTTTCTTTCCTTGCTCCCTCAGGTACCTGGCAGAGTGGATGGTGAATGGGTATCCCTCAGAAAATGTCTGGCCTCTGGATTTGAAACGTTTTGGTACCCTTCAGAGCAGCCGCACCTTCCTCCGGCACCGCGTGATGGAAGTCATGCGTAAGTGAGGGCTCTGCCTTCAGTGCTGGCCAGGATGTCCCACATTTTCCTCTTTGCTGCACCCTGTCTCCTCTGGCATCACTCTGAGAACCGTTTCCCTTCTTCCTGGCCTCCTTTGTGGCAGTACAGCCTCCTTCCAGGAGAAAGGGAATGATTGATTTGGGTGTTATGGGTTTTTTGGGGTTTTTTTTTTTGTATTAGTGGTAGTCTTACAAACTTTTCTTAAAGAAATGCTGTAGGTTTTGGTGGTTTTTTTTTTTTGTATTAGTGGTGGTCTTACAAACTTTTCTTAAAGAAATGCTGTTGGTACCGTGCTCTCTTCTATTTCTGTGCTTCACCTCTGGTATGGGGAAATTTGTGCCCATCTTTATAGGACTCCAGGGTAATAAAACAATGGTGAGGTCTTAACTGGGAACATTATGATGTCTCAAACGTCGTTATTCTTTGCACATCATTACAGTGGGGAAATACCATCAATTCCAGCTTATGAGTATGTGATCCAGATGTCTTACACCATTCAGGAAGTCTTCCTAGACATATTCTGCTTTCTCCTGTCAAAATTTGTGATAAGTGCCTTGCAGAATAGGTTTGAGATGTCGTTATTCCTGTCTGAAGCCATACTTGCTTTCCTCCTATTGTTTGATTATCTGTCCTGAGATAACAAGGACAGCTTCTTTCCAAGTTTCAGACAGAAGTAAGAAGTGCACCACAAGTTGCAAAATGGGGACAATTACTCAAATACAAAGTCTAAACTAAAAACACGTGTTTGGGTGAAAGCAGAGAAGTTGGATGAACTCTGAGCCTTGCTATATCCAGGGAATAAAATCCTTATGCTTTGACCTTCCTCCCAGAAAAACCACTCTGCTCTTGGCATTATTCTGCTATTGTTTTTCAATACAAATCTCAATTCTGATAGCTGCAGAATCACTCTAGTTTTTACAAGATAAGTACTGTATTCAATTTCTGCAGTGTTATGTTCCCATTCTAATCTATTCCCCTTCTACTCACTCTTTCAGAAGTACCCATGCCAGACAATGCCAATAAAATCATTAAATCATTAGCTATGAGGCAAAACCAATCAGAGTATTCAGTAAGGAATATTCATCTCATCTTCAGTTTTATGACCTATGTAGAAACTTAACATTTATAAAGAAGTATTCGAGCATCCTTGAGTTATTACTCCCCACTGGTAATCAGAGAAGATGCTAAACACTTATCAGGGCAACTTGTTTTCTAAGTAATAATGCTCTGTATTAGCTGAAAAGGTATAGGAGCCATTTGGAAAAGCTTCAATAATTAGAAAAGGAAAATATTTAAGAAGGTAAATTAGATGATCCTTGTAGCTGCCTACCCCAACATTAGTACTGTCAAAATGATAAGTGTCTGATACAGTGCCCTGTCAGGGAAGAACCTTGAGTGATTAATGCTGGTCAACATGACTTCATGAAAAATAGAGAGTTATCTTGGCAGTATGGCCAGGAGACCGTAAGTGCTTATAAATATAGGTGTTCTGGGCAAATATTGTTACTCTGATTTTGATTAGCTATAAACGGATCAAACCAGATTTGTCAATTTTCAAAAGCAAAAGATCAGAACAGTTCTGAGGGACTTTCATTAGCGGTTGAGATATGAGTAAGTAAGTTTAGTGATAACCTGGCAGAAAATTTGAAATAAAAGAAAATGGCTTTGCCTGATAGCGGCTTTATCTGGCAGAAAATTTGAAATAAAAGAAAATGGCTTTGCCTGATAGCGGGGTCTTTGTGCCCGTTGCAGCCCTCATGTGTGATCTGAAGGTTCCCCGCTGGGACTTCCAGACGGGCAGGCAGCTGCGTACGTCGCCCTTGTACGACCGGCTGGACGCCCAGGGGGCCAGGTGGATGGAGAAGCACGGATTTGAGAGAGTCAAGTACTTTGTCCCACCTGGGAAAGGTGAGATCGTATTTTCCTCTGCCTACTGCCTCCCCGTCCGTCTGCCTAAGGGCTCAGTTCATCAATTTTTATGCTTACGGGTTGTCCTTTTGATGCTTCTTTGCCTTAGATCTGCTGGATTTGGATCAGAGCAAAACCTTTTACAAGCCGGACTGGTTTGATATTGTGGGTTCGGAGGTGAAGTGCTGTAAGGAAGCGGTTTGTGTCATTGACATGTCGTCTTTTACCAAGTTTGAAATAAGCGTGAGTACCTAGGAAGTGACAAAGCATCAGCCTGATAAAAGCAGCCTTTAGTTTATTAGTGACTGCTTTTGCAAAATTCTCTGTGTCCTGTTCAGGATAGATAAAAGAAGCCAAGCTGTATGACCGAATTCAGGTCGTACCACAATATTTAGCAGAGATTGCTTTTTTTTTTCCTGTCGAAGGCGCGGTTTAGCGAAATACCAGCTCAGTCTATAAATAGAATTTGACCCCTGGCACTGTGTCACCATTGTATCCTGTTACGCTTGAGACATCACTGTCACCATCATTAGAAATTGAAGGAATTTGGGGCCAGGACGTTGACGGGATCTTCAGCTGCTCCGGTGGATTTGTGTTGCTTGTCTTGACGTTCTTCCCCTGTTGATTCCTGCAGTCCACGGGAGACCAGGCCCTGGAGGCTCTGCAGTATCTCTTCTCCAACGACCTGGATGTGCCGGTGGGGCACGTGGTGCACACGGGCATGCTTAACGAGAAGGGAGGGTACGAGAACGACTGCAGCATAGCACGGCTGAGCAAACGCAGGTGGGTGTCCAGGGGGTGTCTTTAGCCACCACCCATCGGGTGTCAGAGACTTGAAGAACCTCTTAATGAAGGGTGTAAACTTTTTTTCACCACTGTCAACTAAAAAGAAAAATCACACTCCTAATTCAGTCACTCACAGGAAAGCGAGCTCCTGAATGTTGGGAAAAATACAGAATCACAGAATCTTCTAGGGTGGAAGGGACCTTAAAGATCATCTTGTCCAACCGTCAACCCAACTGACAAAAATAGACACCCACACAACAAACAAGGAGCATCATCACTAAACCAGACCTCCCAGCACTACATCACCCCGTCTTTTGAACACCTCCAGGGATGGTGCCTCCACCACCTCCCTGGGCAGCCCATTCCAATGTCTTTTTCTGGGACTGCAGATTCACATCGATTTGTACAAATTATGAGGCCTTCAGATGTTAAACTTCTCAATCGTAATACAAATTGTTTTCAGCAGTCATTAGAGGTGATTCATTTAGGTCATCATTTAAAGTGCGAACCAAGCGGCTCCTCGTTGGCTCCTGGCCAGCCTCCTCGTTGGAGCTGCATGCTGAAAATACCACTTTTTGGTTATTTCAACTTTGATTGCAGTATGGGTGCTCTAATTCCTGGCTCTGCAGTCTCTCGTGAGTCTTTTTCGTGCTCGCTGGTGCAAACTGAGATGATCACAGCATCTCGTCCTGAGACTCGGCAGTTTGGGCTGTCTTTGGGCATCCAATAAGGAAAAAAAACTTGATCATTTTTAAAAACTTCCTCATGGGCACGTCCCAGCTGAACGTTGGGTTTATTTCTCTGGACTGTTTTCTGCGTGTGCTTTCATTGTGTTGGTGGGAAGGCATTCTTCTTTGTTGCTCTTTCAATTAGAAACAGCTTTTTTTTCCTCTTTCTCTTCTGTCTGCATTCACGTATTGCTTCAAAGCATTGTCCTCCTCTGTGTGAAACCAGCGGCTTTCCTCCTTGCCGAGTCCTTTCTGCAGATGTTATCTCTGTCAGTAATGGACTTTAACTCCCTGTTTGTACGAAAGAGATGACGAGTAGCTCGTTTTCACAGATCAAGTGGAGTTCTGTTTTTGGGAACTGTTAACAATAACCACCATTGTGTGCGAAGAGACTTTTGCTGGAACAAGGACTGGCTGTGTGAACCGAGCGCTCCTCTGACTGTCAGAGCAGACAGCAGCACTGGTGGTGAAGAGCTGCACGGACCTTCTGCAGAGTGATTGTGAATGTTGAGATTCCCCGTCAACTTTCTGAAGAACTGCCACTTCGAGTCACTTCTTGTCACCAGGCTGCTGCTGCTGCTTGAAGGCTGGGGTTTCTTCTCCTGACAGATGCGGTGGCATCCATCCAGAGACCTCAGCTGTGGTTTTCCCAAACCAGCTTGTTTTGGTCTCCCGTTCGCTTGGAAGCTGCTGAGTGGCTCCAGCAGTTCACGGGCAAAGAATGAACTGAATCATCTTCTGGCTGGCTCATTCATTGTTTTCTTGGTTTCAATTTGTCTGTTCCAGCTTCTTCATGATTTCCCCAACTGACCAACAAGTCCATTGCTGGGCCTGGCTGAAGAACCGCTTGCCCGATGACAGCAACCTGACCATGGAGGACGTGACCTGGAAATACACAGGTAAGAAATCGCTGAAAGCAGAGCTCCTTATTCCACCTGAAATCACGGATGGTGTCTTGTGCTGTGTGCCAGTTGTTTAAGGTGTCTAGAGCGATGGCTGGGTCTCCTTTCTGAACAGTTGGATGAGAAGGGCAATTCAGAGACTTCCTTCCAGCAAGCTGTGAGCTGGGAGACAGCTTTAAGGTGTCTAAACCAATGGCTGGGTCTCCTTTCTGAACAGTTGGATGAGAAGGGCAATTCAGAGACTTCCTTCCAGCAAGCTGTGAGCTGGGAGACAGCTTTCCTTTCCTGTGCACTGTCAGGAGAGAATTTAATTACTTTTTTCCTCCCTTCTTAAATGTAAATGTCCCTGTTAGTTCAGTAAACACTAAGGCTTTAGAAATTGGGTCATATGCAAGTTAGACACTGGGCCAGACGTCTCCGGTCCCGTCCTAACGCTGATGTCCTCTCCTCTTCAGCTCTCAATCTGATCGGCCCTCGTGCTGTGGATGTGCTGTCAGAGCTGTCCTACGCCCCGATGACTCCAGAGCACTTTCCCTCTCTCTTCTGCAAGGTGAGTGACCCTGTTTCCTTCCTCCTTGCCCCACTCGGTTTTTTGAAGCGTGTGTGGAGGCAGGGGAAGGAGGATGTTTCGGTTGGTCGGAGGGGAATTTAGATGTACATACAGATTTACTGAGCAAGGTTGGTGATGTACCCAGCTGGGCTCACTCTGCTAACTACTTCTCTTGGGATTCTACCTGCTAAATATATAGACGAATATATATATTTTTTTTTTTTTTCAATATTCCACTCGCTGTAGGCTCGGTGCTGTTTGGTATCTCGGCGTATTTGATACAATCAGATGTGAAGCTGTCAGTCAGAGCAGCAGCTGGGATTGGTGTCCCAGGAGTCATTATCTCCTGTCGCATTAAAAGGCTGAGCAGAGAGCTGCCACTCAGCCTCTGGTTTGTATGGAGAACACAAACCTTTCCTCACCTGCTTCCAAAGTTTATTGCCGCGTGTCTGGATAATGCGATGTTGCTATTTTTAAATTTCAGTTCTTCACAAGAACATGCCGGTGGTGAACTGTGGTGGGGACGGGGGAGAGGGCTGGTTAGGCATTGTGTCCCTCGGGATCTCCAGGCAGTGTTCCAGTTTGGATGATTTTCCCCCTTTCCCCCTCCTCTGATTCTGCAGGAGATGAGCGTGGGCTACGCTAACGGCATCCGCGTGATGAGCATCACTCACACAGGAGAGCCTGGGTTCATGCTTTATATCCCCATAGAGGTAAGAGTCCACTGCAGCCTTCGCTAATTAAAGCAGTTCCTTGCATGAGTAATCAGAAACACTCTCCGAGTTGCCTCAGGGCAGTGGGATGTCTGGTCTGTACCAGGGGAAAGCTACCTGCAGGCACCAGGGGGAAGTTTCCCTGCTCTGGATCACATTCCAGTCCTCCTGTGCTCCCGGAGGCAGGGCCCAGGAAGGTGGATGGTGGTGTGTGGGCTGATGTTGCTCCCTCCTGGTGTTTGTCAGCAGCTCTGTGTCGTGCCCTTCCTTTGCAGTACGCCCTTCACGTCTACAATGAGGTGATGAACATGGGGCAGAAGTACGGGATTCGCAACGCCGGTTACTACGCCCTCCGCAGCCTGCGCATCGAGAAGTTCTTTGCCTTCTGGGGCCAGGATCTGGATGCCTTTACCACTCCCATGGAGTGTGGACGCGAGTTCCAGGTCAAGCTGGAAAAGGTAGGGTGGAAAACCTAAAAAAAAATAAATAAAAATGTTCTGGGCTCCCCAGTTCAAGAGGGACAAAAGTTCTGGGCTCCTCAGTTTTCAAGAGAGACAGGGAACTACTGGAAAGAGTCCAGCGAAGGGCAACAAAGATGATTCAAGGATTGGAGCATCTCCCTGATGAAGAAAGACTGAGAGAGCTGGGGCTCTTTAGTCTGGAGAAGAGAAGGCTGAGGGGAGACCTTATCAATGCTGACAAGTATCTCAAGGGTGGGTTGAAGGAGGATGGAGCCAGACTCTTTTCAGTGGTTCCCAGTGACAGGACAAGGGGCAACGGGCACAAGCTGGAACATGGGAAGTTCCACCTAAACATGAGCATGAACTTCTTCACAGTGAGGGTGGCAGAGCCCTGGCAGAGGCTGCCCAGGGAGGGTGTGGAGTCCCCTTCTCTGGAGATTTTCAAGACCCACCTGGATGCTCCTGAGTAACATGCTCTGACAAGCTCTGGGCAATCCTGCTTCAGCAGGGGAGTTGGACTAGATGATCTCTATGGTCCCTTCCAACTCTAAAAATTCGTGAAATTCAGTGAAAACCGACATCTCCTCCTGCAGTGGGATCTGCTGTTGCAGCAGGGGTGGGTGGGAGAGCAATGCCAAACTCCAAAAACTGCCATCCAGGTGGGCAGATATGCTTTTTTTTTTTTGATGGGGCTGTTTGCAGTTGACCACCGACATCTCCTCCTGCCGTGGGGTCTGCTGTTGTAGCAGGGGTGGGTGGGAGAGCAGTGCCAAACTAAAAACTGCCATCCAGGTGGGCAGATACGCTGGGGTTTTTTTGATGGGGCTGTTTGCAGTTGACCAAGTTCATGTTTCTCCAGCTGTTTTCCCAGTCGGATGAAGCAAGAGCCAGCCTGTGCACCAAGTGGTGTTTAATGAAGTTAAAGATGAGGATAAGTGCCGAGAGCAGGTGTTCTCTATTTTTATGAAAACAGAGCAGTCCTCTATTTTTATTAAAACACAGAACTGCATCGAGTTGTATCCTGCTTGTTCTGGTGGCAGGTGCCATCCGTCTCTGTCACTTGCTTGTTGCCTTTTTTCTCGCATCTTCGCTTGAGCCAAAACAAATCCTGGCATCAAATAATGCAGCGAAGGGAATGTAGTGATTAGGGACACAAATTTCACGGGTTGTTAGGGTTTGCCTCTGGTTTATAGAGCATGGTAGGCTTCTGGAACCAGAGAAATGGCCAAAAAGTAGAATGATGATGTGTTTTCACTACAGTGAAAATTAGAAATGGATTTTTTAAAGGCTCACTTTACGAACGTTTTTGTGTCTTTTAACGTCTGGGACAACAAACACGACAGGAAAGCTTCTGTCTGAGCTGGGCTGCTTACTTACAGAAGGAACCTGTCTTAGGGCAACGAAACTAGTGAAGGGCCTAGAAGACAAATCGTATGAAGAGCGGCTGAAGGAGCTGGGGCTGTTTAGTATGAGGAAGAGGAGGCTGAGGGGAGACCTCATCACTCTCTACAACTACTTGAAAGGACACTGTAGAGAGGTTGGTGCTGGTCTCTTCTCACAGGGAATTAGTGACAGAACGAGAGGGAACAGCTTCAAGCTCCAACAGGGGAGGTTTAGATTGAACATTAGGAAGGAATTTTTCACAGAAAGAGTGGTCGGGCGTTGGAACAGGCTGCCCAGGGAGGGGGTGGAGTCACCATCCCTGGCTGTGTTTAAGGGACGTTTAGATGTGGTGTTGGGGGATATGGTGTAGGGGAGGACTTTGTAGAGTAGGGGAGATGGTTGGACTCGATGATCCCAAGGGTCTCTTCCAACCTCAATGATTCTATGAAAGGGCATGAGTTCCAAGCACAGATTCACCCCGTGTTGATAACTTGTCTGCTGAAGCTCAGCAGCTGCTGCCTTTCACCTTCCCTTGGTCCGACGCTTTCCTTCTCTCCCCAGGGAATGCAGTTTGTTGGCCAGGAGGCGCTGCTGGAGCAGAAGCAGCACGGCGTGTACAAGCGCTTTACCATGTTCATCCTGGAGGACCACGACACGGACACGGACCTCTGGCCCTGGTGGGGGGAGCCCATTTTCCGCAACGGCCGTTACGTGGGCAAGACCACCAGCAGCGCCTACAGCTACAGCCTGGAGCGCCACGTCTGCCTGGGCTTCGTGCACCACTTCGACGAGAAGACGGGAGAAGAGCTGGTGGTCACCACTGACTTCATCAACCAGGGCGAGTACGAGATCGACATCGCCGGGCAGCGCTTCCAGGCCAAAGCCAAGCTCTACCCCTTCAGCTCCCTCTTCACGCACCGGCGCCGCAAGGACGAGGTGGAACTGAGTGGCTACCAGAGGGAGTAGCGCTGATGAGACCTCACCCGCTCCTCATCCCACGCTGGAGTCTTCTCCCACCATCTTCCAGTCCTTTCTCCTCACCCCCTTACGTTTCTTTCTTTCTCGTCTTGCAACTTTTAAACTTTTTCCAGTGTGCTACCTTTTGTATATTTTAAAACTTGGATTTTCGAGCTTTCCCCCATCCTGGCTGTCTCCCTCCTTCAGCCCTTCGCTCGCCAGGCTTCCCCGTGCCCCGGTGGCTGAGCCTGCATCCAGGAGTTGGTGGGAAGCCTGTTGTAGGAGTGAACCCCCCCCCAGAGGCCCTCACGGTGAGGGGAAGGGTTCGGGTGAAGCCCTGAGGATGACACCCTTCCTCTCTCCAGCGTAAAGCGTCAGGACAGCGGGGATTTGCTGCCAAAGGCTGTGATTTCACCCCCTTCTCATATCACGTCGTGGAGGGGTGGGTGCGTCGGCGCGCGCGGCAGTAGGACCATCAGCTACCTCACCGGCACGGGGCACAGCGGGGCATCAGCGGCACCGAGGGACGGGTTTTTGGGATAGCCCAGCCCCTCACTGCCCCCGTTTGCCCACCAGTTTTTCTCCCCTAACGAGGAGTCAAGTAGATTTAAATCGTCGGGTCGTTGAGATGACAGCAGCGCCGGTAAGTTTGTTGGGGTTGGGGACTGGATTTTCTGCGTGGGGTCACTGAAACTCAAAGGCCTTCTATAAATATAATGGGAGATCAACACGTGTGTTTCAATTCTGTAAAGGAACGGGATTTGTTGGCATTTTTCTATTAGCAAAAATGCTGTTTTCTGACGAGGACAGATGTTAATGTTTAGTGTTAGTGGCAGTGTTGAAATGCTGCTTCCCTTTCAGCTGCACAGCGCGTAGTCTCTGTGGGGATTTTCTTCCCTCTGTTTATGTGGCTGGGTGAAGCTGGTCTGGCAAGGGTCATGTAAGACTTGGGGTGGTTTGGGGAACTTGAGCAGCAGGGAGGGGACATCATCTTGTGTTTTCAGCTGTCTGTGGTGATTTTGCAATTAGAGGGAAAGACCCAGCATTTTTTTTTTCACCAGTGGTGCTGGCAGTATTGCAAGAAACACGGGGTTTTCTCTTGGTGGTGAGAGAGAGCATCTCAGCACCTCCAGAACTTGTCTTCTGCTTTTCTCCTCAAACCCATTGCACCTCTTCCTTCTCTCTCTTCATAGTCCCTCAGCTGAAGGGATTGAACGGAGGGAGTGGAGGGTTTGTGGTGGGGGGATTATAAATTGCTTTCCTTCAGCAAAGCTCTTTGCCATCAGGCTCCTTCTTCTTCCCGTTGTGAGCACAATCAAAAGCAAAGATTCTCTGTATTTACTTGAAAAACATCTGTTAAATGTTTTCCATGCCTCTGCCAGCTGCACACTTCGCTATGGTCTTTCTGCTCCAGCATCTTTCTGGAGTTCAGCCACAACCTTGCACTGATGTCTGCCCTGTCAGCCGTGATGAACACTTTCTCTATGACCCAGAACCTTTTTTTGGGCACTTTCTTTTCCAGTTAAATGTTGAGCATCAGTAGTGTAAATATGAGCTCAAAACCTTGCCTGGGTCTTGTCTGAAGTTTGCTTTTTGCTACTTGAGTTGCTTTGGTTGAGTCTGTGGTCTGGCAGTTCACCATCCAGAGGTTCTCAGCGCGCAGGAGGAGTCTGATGGCCCTGAGGCAGCAAAGGGGAAAGTCCCAAACCTTTACACCCAGGTGTAAAGCCAAGGTACAGAAGCTGTGAAACCTGGGAGAGGCAGGGAAGGGTGTAAGAAAATTCAGGATTTTGAGCATGTGGGGTAGTAGGTTGATGTCACTTCTTTGAGCGTGTTCTGCCTGGTGAAGGGTGAGTTCCTTTGTGGTGTGTGACCTCTTCGAGGACTGCAATCTTACTTCCAAATTGACGTGTAGAAATTCCCCGGTCTCTGGAATGTAGTGACTGTATCTTCTGGGGAATCTTGCAAGTTGAGAATACCCTGCACGGTGGCTCTTGGAGGCAGAGGTTGTCATTTATTCCAAGTTCCCCTCTTAGTGCTCTCCAGGTTAAAATTTTGCCTGGCCTATCAGGATTAATTGCTTAAACAGAAGGTTCATAAGGCATCTAGTAGCAGTTTAAAACCCAATCGCTTCTTTCCTGCATGGAGGGATACTGTGATCCTGCTATTCCCATGGGATGTATGTGCCAAGGAGGACCTTGGTCCCTCCCTTGGTTTGGTGGGATGTTGCTGTGCCTTCCTCATCCAGGGGGATGGACCTTCAACCAAGGAAGGAGCTTTGTACATGGCGCTTGGGATGTGTCTTAGAGCAGCCCTTCTGATGAGAGTTTATTGACCGTTTTTCGTCACTGGTGTGATACTTGTTCAGGAGAAAACAGAGCTGAGGGGAGCTCAAGTACTTAATGCTGCTCCCAAAGAGAGATTTTGAGCTCGAAACCATCCAGTTTGTTCTCTGCAGAGTTAGAACTAGTTAAGACCAACCTGGAAAGTTACCTGCGTGATGGCCTCTACCAACCGCCCGTTCCTGAAGCATCATTTTAAATCACAGCCTCATTATGTTCCTCCTTGGGATTATTTTTCCTTTTCCCTAACTTTTTAGGAGCCCACTAGTTCCGTGGACAACTTCTGATGCGGGTGTCTCTTCCCACAGCGGTTCTGACGATGAGAGTGTCTTCCCTGGGCTACTCTGGGTCATTATGTCTGCTTTGCTGTGTCTAGATCTCTTGACTTCATGTACCAAAAATAGAGAGTGAACATAAGTCCCCATCACGTCGATAGAGAGAGCACTTTGTGTGATGTTGTGTTTGCTGTTGGAGACAGGGGTGGGCGGCCAGATAATTGTCCCTCTCGCAGCTCGTTAACTCCTGCCCTGCCTTTCCCTGCTATGAATTCTGATCCTTGTTTTATATCTTGAACCTTTAGAGTGTTATAGAATAATTTGACTTCACACACTTGAACACCCCTCGAGGGGGGGACAATTGGATACCCTGTTTTAAAATAGTGCTGGGTACCGACACCGAGGAAGGGCCTTCTAGTGTCGTGTTTGCTTCCCGAGGTATTAAAAGGGTGATGTAAGGCTCTAATCCCTTTATCTGATGACTAAAAGTAGGGTGCCTAAAAAAAGAAACAACGAAATCAGTCACACCTTCAAATTAGAAAATGAGAAATGGGATCTTGGAGGCTGCTGTGGCACCGTCTTGGCGTCCACGACGCTGAGCAGCGTGGCCTGCAAAGTTCTACACCGTGGGTCTCATCCTTAAACCTGCCCTCAAACACTTTCTGCCGAGGGAAAAAGGGGGTTTGTTCTCATTCTGCCTGGTGGAAAGACTGTGAACCTGGGGTGGGAAATGCCAAAATAGCATCCCCCTCCTCTGCAGCGAAGAGGGGTCACGGCCTCGTTCCCTGCGCGTCGCGGGGGCGTTACCGGTTCTCCGTGCCTTGCAGGGATGGGAGCAGCCCCCTAGGTTCTGTTCAGGCAGGCAGCTCTGCCAGAGAAACACTCAGAGGAAAGCCAAGTGGGGCTTGGTTTGGGGAAATAATTTTATCTTTTGGGCTAAAATATTATAGGTTGGGCATAACCCATTTTAGGATAAACTTAATACCCATCAGTGACAAGGAGAGCGTGGCCTGTGGGAAGATACCCTACTGGAGGGGTGTTGTGTTTGTGGGATTGTGTTTTCTTCCCCCAAAAATCAGCCTCTGAGTGGGTTTGCTGACGTGGGGGTGGTGAATCCATCTCTGTGGGAAGGGCTGGCTTGTCCCAGTGTCATCTGCAGAGTAGCGTGGGCACCTGTGAAGGAGGTGGCACTTGCTGGGCAGCCCCTTCCAGTAGGTGATTTTCTCCCCGGGGTATTCCCTTGGCTCACCCTTGTTGCATCCTTTCCAAAGTTCTCCTGTTTTACTGAGTGCTGAGAGGCTGGAATAAAAATGGTGTTAGAGAAGAAGGACTTTATTGAGAAGAAGGACTTTATTGTTCATACTTAACGATCTGAGGATAAAATTAAAGCAATTAGGAGTGATGTTTTCTGTTTCAGGAGGATGTGCTGCAGGGATTTTCACATCTGTCTTTGCTGGGCTTAGTTCCTTCTTTTTTTCTCTCTCTTGTTTTGTTCTGCTGACTCCAGTGTCTGGGTTTCATGTGCGTTGTTGGACAGTTTCTCCTTATTATTATTTGTGGCCAGGAGGGGAGGCTCTGTGAAACCTCCACTGCGTCTCCAGGTCTTGGGGTAAGCTTGGATTTCCCCACCTTTCCCCTTTTTACATTCAGGCTGCCCCCGACCACGTTGCTGTTCCTCCCACACCTCCCCATCCAGCCTCTGCTGCTGCTGCTGCTGCAGGACCTCTGGTGAGCAAGGTTCTCCTCGCTCTGCCTGGTGCTTCATCGTCAGGGCCAGGCTGGCTCTACATCTCTCTCTCTCTCTCACGAGGGCAGAAGTTATTCTGACCTAAACCAGAACACTTACCTGCTGCTAACCTCCAGCAAAACCTCTGCAACCTTCAGATTCGTCTTCCCAAATGTTTTTATTACAGTACTCGGTCAGGTTAGTTTCCATCCATTTCAGGATGCTTTTTTTTGTTTTAAACTACCTTTCCCTTAGATGATTGTTTGGATTATGTTTTGTTTTTTTTTTTAAAAAAAAGCTTTCAGGACTTGGGGTTAATGCCATCAGATGACTTCAAGCCATCTCCTAAAAGCATTTGGAAATTTTCTTTGCACTTTAAACTTTCCTTAAGTGTTGGGATTGTAGCCGGCGCACGGCCCTCGGCAGGAGCAGGCTTTGCGCTTGGGGGACAAAAAAACAAACCACTTTAAGTGTTTGCAAACGCCTTAAAGCTTTAGGTGGGGTGTTTGGGCACTGGTTGTTGGGAGATATTGCCTGTGGGGAACGAGGGATCTCCGCGGGGGTGGGAAACTGTAACGAAAGAGGCACCGGAGAAAGGTGTTGGCTTTAATATTTATGGATTTGTGGGTACCGGGGAGCTGTCAGCACCGTCCCAATTCAATCCCAGTTTGATCCATTTTGGGTGGTGGAAGAAAAAGTCCTTCTGCTGTGGCACCACCGAGGTTTCTTCCACCCTGCAAATAACTTGTCCTGGGGAACAAGGGTCTCACTTGCACCCTTTTTCCAGTATAACCAGGGGCTGGGTAACGTCCCTGAAGTCTTGACTGGGTTCTCCTGCGCCTCGTGGACAGGTGACCCAAGCCGTGCTGGGGGACGGGAGCAGGTCTGCACCCTGCTGTTTCCAGGCAGCTGGAAATTTCCAGATGGTGTCTCCCGGATCCTGGGGAAGGGTTGGGGAAGGCCCTTTCTGGCCCAGACGGACCCCTGGCCTCTGCTCTGGGACAGGTCCCTCCAGCAGAGACTGCCATCTCCTGAACTTCACCAGTACATCCCATCCCCACCATCAGCTGCACCAGTTCACTTCTCCAAAGCCCCTTCGTGCTTTCATTGGTCTCCTGAGACCAGATTCCCAAGGGCTGGTGGGGGGGACGTCGGGAGGGGGACGTCGGGAGTGTGCTGGGGCAGAAGTTTTCAGAACAACTGAAGCTGGACCCTGTGGAGACGTTGGGTGGTTGTTTTTATTTTCTAGTGCCTTACGCTTGTGAATGTTGTGGGGTGGGTGGAGCTGAGGTGGGACAGAGCGAGGAGTGACGTTGGTGGCCTGGTTCCCCTGCTCCACCGCGGCCACCTCCCTCTCCCCTGGCGGGGTCTCAGCAAGGAGACCCCGGCACTAATTAAAAAGCGATGCTTTTTAATGAATCCCTTTGAGCCTGGGGGTTGTGGGCATGTTCAGCTGGAACACCTGGCAGCGCGTGGTGGGCTTGGGAGAGGAGCTGGGGCTCTTGGCTCCACCAGTTTGGGACCCGGAGGGGTTTGGGAGGGACAAAGCCACTCTGGGGGCCCGAGGACGTGGAGGGTCATGCCCAGGCTCAGCTGGTGGGGTGAGGTTGCTGCTCCCTGCTGAGGCCAGGCCGTTCACGTGTGCTGTATTTACACCCTGCTTGGGTTCATTGGCTGGTTTGGGTTGGCCTAGGCGTCCCTAGGTTTGTATATCAATAAAGAGCCGTTTTAACTACTCCCGAATCGGGCCGTTTGTTACCCAAAAGCCTCCCGTGTCTTCCAGGACCCGAACCCCCTGCTCCTCAGGGTGGATCCCACAAGGGAGGCTGTGCTTCTTGGGGGGTCCAGCCTTGGGAGCCCTGGGTCACCATAGGGAGAGTCCCTGTCTGCATGTCTGCACCCCCAGTGACAAATCACATCCCCCCAAGGGTTTGTCCATGAGGAGAGAGGAAAGGGGAGGGGAAGGGAGAGGAGAAGAGAGGAGGAGGAGGAAGGAGAGGACAGGAGGAAGGAGAGGACAGGAGGAAGGGGAGGACAGGAGGAAGGGGAAGGGAAGGGAAGGGAAGGGAAGGGAAGGGAAGGGAAGGGGAAAGAGAGGAAGCAGAAGAGGAAGGAGGAGAGGAAGAGGAAGAGGAAGAAAGAGAGGAGAGGAAGAGGAAGAGGAAGAAAGAGAGAAGAGGAAGAGGAAGAAAGAGAGGAGAGGAAGAGGAAGAGGAAGAAAGAGAGGAGAGGAAGAGGAAGAGGAAGAAAGAGAGGAGAGGAAGAGGAAGAGGAAGAAAGAGAGGAGAGGAAGAGGAAGAAAGAGAGAAGAGGAAGAGGAAGAAAGAGAGGAGAGGAAGAGGAAGAAGGAGATAGAAGGAGAAGGAGAGGGAAGGGGAAGGAGATGAAGAGGAGCGGGGAGAAGAGGGAGAGGGAAGTGCAAAGGAGAGACAAGGAAGAGGGACAGGAGGGGAGAGGGAGACCTGAAGGAGAGGATCCTCCAGCCCCACCAGCCCTCCCTGTCCCTTTCCCTCTCCCCCCGACCCCACTGATGCCTGGCCTTGGCTGTGGGGGAATCAGAGCAGGCCGGGCTCCCGGAAGGTAAACACGGGGCAGTTCCGATGCATGTTTTTTATTGACTTTTAAAAAAAAAAAGAGTTGTTTTAAGACAGTTGTGTGCAGAATTACCCACGTACACAGAGGCTGCGGGCGCCGCCGCCCGCCTGCTCCTAGCCCTAGGTCAGAGCACTGGTCTCCCCCCCTCTCCCGGGGGGCGATGGGTGCTCCATCAGGCACCAGGTGATGAAGACCACCTCTGCCGGGGGTTGGGGGGCACCCCCCACCCCATCTCCCCCCCTCGCCTCTGCCTGCATCTCTTCTCCTCTATGTACAGTACAGTGGTGCAGCCGGGCGTGCAGCATCCTCCTGCCTCTGCCAGAAGTGGTCGAGAGTCCTAGTGGGACAGCTTAAATAAAAAAATAATAATAATAATAAAAAAAAAAAAAGAAGATATCATGCCATTGACAAATACACACAACCAACTATGAGGGCAGCGAGGAGCTGGGAAAGCATCTTTCGCCGGCAGGTTTGGTACCCGGCGTCTCTGCTCGCCCCGTGATTGTCTGGCCCGGCCCTGGAGCTGGCCCTGGAGCTGGCCCCAGCCTGGTCCTGCTGGATTTGGCCTCCCCAGCCACCGGGGTGGTGGCCCTGGCCGTGGCCCTGCCTCCCCCAGCAGCGATTCCCAGCTAAAAGAAGGGAGGGAGGCGGGTACCACCGCCAGGTAACCCGGCCGAGCCCCCAGCCGGGAGCGGGCACGGCCCAGCGTGGCCGACGGGAGATGGTCAAGGCACTCATTGTTGCTCGTGGGGTTTATTTTTTTCTTTCCCTAAAAAATGCCCCCAACCCAGGAAGGTGGAGACCGGGGCTGGCTGCAGCCTGCCGGGGGTCGGGGCTGGCCGTGTGGTGGCCACAGGGTGCTTCTACCAAAAGCTGCCAGGAAACCCGGGGGTTTTAAAGCCCTGCAGCCAAAAAAAGACAAATTTCCCCAGCCCAAGGGATGCTCAGCACCTGCTCCAGGTGACCCAAACCCTTCCTCCTTCACCGCTGCGCAGAGAAACCTCTGGGGAAAAAAAAAAGGAAAAAAAAAAGAAGAGAAGAAAACCCTGAAAAACAACCAAACTGAAGCAGAGAAACAGGTAAGAGGCTGCTACAGAAAAGCCAGATACAAAAGGGTAAAAAAACCCCTCCAAGCCCTCCCCCAAATCCCCCCCATTTGTTTGTGATTGTTCCTCAAATAACTATTGGAACCAGGCGGCGCAGGCGGAGGGTCCCTCTCCGGGGGACCTTTTCCGTGATTGCCTTTTTCTTGAGCTTTCCAGCATCTCCAAAAAGCCAAAAACAACAACCCCAAACCTCCCCCCCCACAAAACACCCCCTACCCGCCTGATTGACCCAAGGAAAGTGGTTTTAATCACCCCTCTGGGGAGGCAGTTCCCTCCCGCAGCCCCCGTCCGGCCCGCAGAGCCCCCGCTGCATCCTCGGAAACGGAGCAAAGACTTTGGGATTTCAGCTTCTCGCCAGAGCTGTCCGTTTGCAGCAACACAAAAACCCAAACGTGGTTCTTCTCCCCACCCCCGCCCCCAACTAAACCTATCTCTAATCTGGTTTTGTTTTGTTTTTTTTTCTTCTTTTTTCCCCAGCCTGAAAGCAAAGGGAAACCTCTTCTCCTCCTCTCTGGCGGGGCTGGACCGGCTGCCGCATCCCGCATCCCTCCAGCATCCTGCCAGGAAACCCCAGTCCCAGGGACCAGGCTGCTGCTCCTGTGGTTTATTTTTAGCTGCCTTTTGCCCGATGGCTCCCAAAATCCGTCCTACCCATCCTCAGTCCTCAGGCAGGGGAGGGGGGATGCCAAAGTTGGGGGGGGGGTTCCTCTCCATCCCCCATCAGCCACGGTCGACGTCCCGCCGCTGCCGGCTCCTCACGGTGGGTCCACGCGCTTCCCAGACCAGGAGCCTTCCCCCAGGGCTGCCCCAGGTGGGTTAAAAAAAATAATTATATAATATATATATATATCAAAATAAAGGAAGAAAGAAGCAGCTGGTTCCACTGGCGAGGCTGCGGCACCGGGGAGGGGGGAGCCAAGCCCTCGGCCACCACATCTCCCTCGGCCCCGGCGCGATGCTTGGGTGCTCCCCAAAGTCACCCAGCTCCGGGGTGGTTGGGGTTTTTTTTGTTGTTGTTTTTTTGTTTTTTGTTTTTTTTGTGTGTGTGTGTGTCTTGTTTTAAAAAGAGCAGCATTTGGTTTGACTGTAAAGAGATGCGAGGCGGACGCCCCCGCCCGCCCGGTCAGTCGCTGATTGTGTTTACAAATCCCTTCTCAGCTGGGTTCCTTGATAATAATAATAATAATAATAATTAATAATAATAATTATTAAAAAAAAAAAAAGCAAAAAGTCTCCTTTAGCTCTGAACCTGATTGGCTGCTGGAGGCACCGAATATCGCTGGGGGGGGGGGGCAGTGGCTCTGCCATTGGCGCGGGGCCACGCTGAGCCCACCCGGCTCTTGTCCCCCCCTGGGGCCACCGGGGAGACCCTGGCCCTCTGTCCCCGCCGGCGCAGGGGAGCCCGGAGGAGGCCCAGCCCCTCAGTTCCCCCGGTAAACCTCGATTTTGCTGGTTTTGGCCAGCATGTCGATGATGTGGGCCTCGAAGTCGGCGTCGTGCACCCCCGTCTTGCGGAACTCCCCGGCGTAGCGGTTGTTCTCCCAGTAGTGGTGCCAGTTGCCCCGGCTGTCGGCGCCGAACCCGAAGACGTTCACCTGCCATGGAGAGGATAGGGGGGTCACCAGGCAGCCCTGACCTCCCACCCCACCCCGTCGGGCTGGGGACCCCCTCAGCTGAGGGGTTCACCATCACGTGAAGGTGAACATCCCCCCTGCCCAGCCTTCCTCCTGTTCCAGGGTGACCATCGCTGTGCCATTAAGCCACAGGAGCAAGTGAAACTGCCATGGTTGGACCCACCTCCATCCATCCTTAACCCTGCAAGGCTCAGGATCCCAGAAAAGCCACCCCACGCCATCCGGGACCTCACAGCCCATCCTTGTCTCTGGAGACCATCCAGGACCCCACAGCACACCCAGATCCCCACAGCCCATTCAGGTCCCCGCAGCCCATCTGGGACCCTGCAGCCCATTCTGGACTCCTCTGGAGACCATCCAGGACCCCACAGCACACCCAGATCCCCACAGCCCATCCAGGACCCCACAGCACATCCCGGACTCTGGAGACCATCCAGGACCCCGCAGCCCATCCTGGACTCTGGAGACCATCCAGGACCCCACAGTACACTCAGATCCCCACAGCCCATCCGGATCCCCACAGCCCATCCTGGACTCTGGAGACCATCCAGGACCCCACAGTGCATCTGGATCCCTGCAGCCCATCCTGGACTCTGGAGACCACCCATCTGGGACCCTGCAGCCCATCCTGGACTCTGGAGACCATCCAGGACCCCACAGTACACTCAGATCCCCACAGCCCATCCGGATCCCCACAGCCCATCCTGGACTCTGGAGACCATCCAGGACTCTGGAGACCATCCAGGACCCCACAGTGCATCTGGATCCCTGCAGCCCATCCTGGACTCTGGAGACCATCCAGGACCCTACAGCCCATCCGGATCTCTGCAGCCAGCCCATCCAGGACCCTACAGCCCATCCGGGTCCCCGTACCCCAGAGGAGGATCCCAGGAGCCATCACCCACCTCGTCGCAGACGTGGAGGGCAAAGAAGAGCACCAGCATGCCGGTGGAGGGGTAGCGCCCGTGGTGCTCCGTCCAGCGGTCGTGGATGTACTTGAAGAAGGCAGGGTTGTAGATCTGCACCTGGGAGGACAGGCTGGGCTCAGCGCCGGAGCCCCCGGCCACGCTCCCTTCGGCATCGGCACCCCGGGAAGGAGCCCCCCAGGAAGGACACGGTGGGGGGAACCCCTGGGGGAAGACGGGGTGACGGGGGCCGTGGCCAAACGGGTGCTCATCAATGAGCACACACACACACACTCCCCCTCTTACCTTTTCTTTGTCCACCCGCAGAAAAGGCTTCACGGGCGCGTAGGTGCTGGGAAAAAAGCGGATGCAGGTGATGCTCCTGGGGGACTCCACACCCCCCCAAACCCCAGCCCGAGCTGCCGGGGGATGCTCTGGGAGGGAGGAAGGGAGGAATCCCCACCGTGAGCAGCCGGCCCTGCGCCTGCCGGGTACTTACAACCTGATCTGGCCGGTGGAGAGGGCACTGGCGATCCAGAGGAGGTCCAGGGTTTTGAAGGGCACCAGCACGAAGCTGACGTTGGCGGGCAGGTTCTTGGCACTCTCGGGGTACATGAAGTGGTGCGTGGTCCGGCCGCCCACGTCGCCCTCGAAACCCACCGTAGGGGCCTGGTTCATCCTGGGGGAGAGAGGGGGGAAGGTGGCACCCCCTTCCTCTCCCACCCACCCCGTCCCTTGCAGACAACACGGGTGTCCCCTCAGGAGCAGTTCCCCAGCCTGCGCACGCTCAGGGTGCTGGGCTGAGCTGAGGATGGTGGTGGTAATGGGGCTAGAACCCGCTCCCATCCAGCTGGTGGGGACCCATGATGGGCTCCTTGACCGAGCAACTGGGGCTGGGCATGGGGACAACCCTCCTGGTGTCTCCCAACCCCAGAGGAGACCCGGAGAGATGCTGCCAGAGTGCCACCTGCTCCCACCCATCTGGTGGAGACCCATGATGGGCTCCTTGACCGAGCAACTGGGGCTGGGCATGGGGACAACCCTCCTGGTGTCTCCCAACCCCAGAGGAGACCCGGAGAGATGCTGCCAGAGTGCCACCTGCTCCCACCCATCTGGTGGAGACCCATGATGGGCTCCTTGACCGAGCAACTGGGATTGGGCACGGGGACAACCCTCCTGGTGTCTCCCAAGCCCAGAGGAGACCCGGAGAGATGCCGCCGGAGTGCCACCTGCACCCACCAGGTACCATCAGCATCGCCCCATGTCTCTCCACATGCCCCTCCACCCCCCTGCCCTCACCGCATGACGAAGTCGTGCCCGTCGATCTCGGGCCCGTAGCCAGAGCCCCGCAGGTTGCCCGAGTTGCCGACCACGGCGCAGCGGCGGCAGCGGCGGGGGTCGCGGGAGCGGTAGGGATCCTCGCCCGGCACGATCTGGAAGAGCTTGCTGAGGACCTCGTGGGTGTTGTGGGACTTGAACTGGGGCTGCAGCATCTGCAGGGGTTGGGGGGGGACACGGTGGGGGGATGACACCATCAGCTCATGGAGGAGAAAACTTGGGGGACTCAGGGAGCTCAGGGAGGGAGGGGGGACACACACACCCGCCCCGGCTTTGCTCACCATCCACCACCTCTGGACGTCGGGGGGCAGGTCCATGTTCTCCTTGGTCCACACCGGGGAGATGGTGGCGTCGTAGCGCCCCTCAAACCAGTCGGCGGCCCCGGCCTCCTCGGGGGGGCAGCGGCGGCAGGAGCAGCCCCGGGGGGGGTATGGCCCCCCTTTGCTGAGGCGCTGCATGCCGGCGTAACCGGGCACCAGCTTCACCCGGTGGATGCCGCCCAGCCCGCCGGGGTCCAGGTAGGCGATGCTGTGGTGGGAGTAGGTGAAGAGGAGGGACATGACGAAGACGAGGAGGAAGGCGGTCGAGAGGAAGCAGAAGCGCAAGGAGCACTTCATGGTCGGCGGGCGGCTGAGCCGGGGAAGGAGCCCGCTCCGGCATAGGGCTGGGGCATAGGGATGGCGTCAGCCGGCCAGCGAGGCTCCCTGCGGGACAGAGATGGTGGTGATGATGATGGATGAGGAGGATGAGGATGATGATGATGATCAAAAGATGCGTTGCCAGCAGGTCCAGAGAGGGGATTCTTCCGCTTTACTCTGCTCTGGTGAGACCTCACCTGGAGTATTGTGTGCAGGTCTGGAGCCCTCAATATAAGAAGGACATGGACCTGATGGAGAGGGTCCAGAGGAGGGCCACGAGGAGGATCAGGGAGATGGAGCACCTCTGCTACGAGGACAGGCTGAGGGAGCTGGGGTTGTTCAGCCTGGAGAAGAGGAGGCTCCGGGGAGACCTAATAGCAGCCTTCCAGTACCTGAGGGGGCTACAGGAAGGCTGGGGAGAACCTGTTTAGAAAGGCCTGCAGTGACAGGACGAGGGGCAATGGCTTCAAGCTGGAGGGGAACAGATTTAGACTGGAGATGAGGAGAGGGTTCTTCACTGTGAGGGTGGTGGAGCACTGGAACAGGTTGCCCAGGGAGGTGGTTGAGGCCCCTTCCCTGGAGATATTCAAGGAGAGGCTCGACGAGGCCCTGGGCAACCTGGTCTAGTTGGGGGTGTCCCTGCTGACTGCGGGGGGGTCGCTGGACAACTCTATGACTCTATGATGGTGGTGGTGGGGAGGCAGAGCCCACCGTGAGCCCTCTCCTACCTGCCGGGCTGCAGCTTTCCATCCGCGTGGGTCCGGCCACGGCGAGGGCGAGGGGGGACGTGGTGGGATTCGGGGGGTGGGGTGGGGACACGGGGACTCGGCACCACCGGTCTCAGCCGCGGCACCGCGCCTCGGCCGCTCCTCCGGGCCCGGGCCCCCGCTGGCTCTCGGCTGCCACCACCACACTCATCCTCCC